GGTCAGTAATTTCAAAATCAATATCCTCACAACTTTTGGTCTTCTTTTTTTGGGTGGGGGGGGGCAGGTTCTGGTCGTGGGGCCTGAACTCTGGGCCTGGGCGCTGTCCCTCAGCTCTTCAGCTCAAGGCTAGCACTCTCCCACTTAAGCCACAGCGCCACTTGTGGCTTTTTTTTTTCTGCTGCTTATGTGGTGCTGAGGAATCGAACTTAAGCATGCAAGGCAAGCGCTCTACCACTGAGCCACCTTCCCAGCCCATTTTTGGTCTTTTTTTGGTCTGAAACACCTGCTTTGGCTTAAGCACAGGTGTCTGAGGTTAAAGTTGGGGAAAAGGGGGAATTTACGGGGCCCGTTAGTAATGTGTATCCTTTTACTTAGGAAAAGCAACGACTTTACTAGATTCACTCAGAAGACATTTTTGTACAGTCACTGACCCAAACTAAGTCATCCACTCCTTCTAGCAGAAGGCTACAAAATGAATATTTTAGTTTTAGTAGTAGAGACAGGCAAGGGCAAAGACAGGCATGAGTGTTTTATTAGCCAGCTCGTGGTGTCCACCACAATGTCTAGACAAATAAATTAGCTCCTCTATTTGGTACCTTCTGTTATAAAATAAAGACCAGTAGAAAATAGTGATTAATTAGGGATAACATAAATACTTGATATAAGTAATATTGGTTGGTTTTTTTATTGTTAGCATTACTATCTCAACTCTACAAAGTAGTCATTGTCCTACTTTATAAGAGGCGTGGGATATGGCTGAGTAGTAAAATACTTCCCTCGCATGTATAAGACCTAGCTGGTGGGTCTGTCTTAAACCAAGGCATCCATTGCTACGCCTTAGTAATTAAGGAACAAGGGAGACTGAAAAGAATAAGTATCAGTGGTAAGAACTCAAGCAAAAAAGCCCATCTGTAACATATAATGTCAAAGAGAATTGTGTTAGGGGTCATTACTGGCCTGATGCTAGATCCACCAAATTTTGGGGGGTGTCCGTAAGAAAAGTGGAAATGTAATTTTTTGAGAAGTAGTCTTCCTGGTGTTGCTCAAGTTGGCCTCAAACTCATTACTCTTCTTCCTCTATCCCCCTCCCACATCTGTGATTACATTTGTGCACCATATACCCAGGCTAATCTCAAATTCATAACCTTTCTTCCTCAAGCCTCTTCAGTAGTTGGGATTACAAATGTGTGCAGCATCATGCCTGTCTGTATTTGATAAGGCTATAATAAAAAATCAGTCATGGCATTAGCTTGAAAAAGACTATTATGTTCTAGAAAGAGGAAGGTCTAGAAAGACTTTTAGGAGGGGAAAAAAAAGGAAGCAAAGGAAAGAGTACTGTCTGACCATTGAGGACTGTGGGAGTAATTTCAGGATAGGCTTGACAAAGGAAGTGAAACATTTAGATGTAAATGAGCTAGACTTGGAACATCCTTATGCCATGCAAAGAAATTTAGAACTTTATGGTTGACAATGGGGAGCCATCAGAGTGTTTCAGATGGATAATCAATTTCGAAAACTCCCTCTGGATTGATAGGTTGAAGGAAGGGGAAAGAGAAGGAGAAAGGAAAAGAAGAGGAGGAAGGAAAAAAAAGAGAAGGAGGAAGGAAAAGGAGAAGGAAAGGAATATGAAATGAAGATGAAAAGACCTGTTAGGAAGTTCTTCAATACTTCAGTCAATAGACTGGTCCCAGTGAGTCACACTTGTAATCCTGACTACTATGGACATCGAAAGCAGAAGGATCAAAGTTAAAGGCCAGCCCAGACAGAAAAGTTTTTGAGCCTCTATTTAAAAATGACCATCCAAAAAACCAGGACTTGCTAGGTGCCGGTGGCTCACCCCTCTAAATCCTAGCTACTCAGGAGGCTGAGAACTGAGGATTGAAGCCAGCCTGGGCAGGAAAGTCTGTGAGGGCTTTTTTTTTTTTTTTTTGTCAGTTGTGGGGCTTTTTTGCTCAAGGCTAGTGCTGCTCTATCACTTTGAACCCCAGCTCCACCTCTAGTTCTTGAGTGGTAATTGGAGATAAGAGTCTCACAGGGACTTTTCTGCCTGGGCTAACTTCTAATAGAGAGCCTCAGATCTCAGCCTTCTGAATAGCTAGAATTTACAGGAGTGAGCCATAGGCACCAGACTCAGAGAGGCTCTTATATCTAATTAACCCCTAGAAAACCGGAAGTGGCGTTGTGGCTCAAAGTGGTAGAGTATTAGCTTTGAGTGAGAAAAAAAAGTTCAGTACCCAGGCCCTGAGTTCAAGCCCTATGACCGACACAAAAAGAAAAGAAGAGAAGGAAGGAGAAGGAAGAAAATTCCCAGCCTCAAGTGACAGAGCACAGCCTTGCACAGTACTAGAAGAAAGAAAGAGAAAAAAGAAAGGAAAAGAAGGAAGGAAGGAAAAAGAAGGAAAGAAAGAGAAAGAAAGAAAGAGGAAGGAAGGAAGGGAGGGAAAGGAAGGAAGAAAGAAAGAAAGAAAGAAAGAAAGAAAGAAAGAAAGAAAGAAAGAAAGAAAGAAAGAAAGAACTTCCAGCTCCCAAGTGACAGAGCACCAGCCTTAGAAAGTACAGGGTCCTGAGTTCAAACCCAGTACTGGGCAGGGGGTTTGGAGATGAACGAAGGATAGTATTTGGATTGGGGACAAGAGAGCATGTTTGAGACATTTTTAGAGAGAACAATGTCTGACGTATAGTAGATATTCAGCATTTTTGGAATATGAATGAATAAGTTAAGACTTTAAGTTGGATTTGCTTAGTTAGGCTGGAAGAGTCTGAACTTATAATAGGTTTTCTTTGCCTTAGGTGACAGGTTCAATGGTCATAAGTTTTCACTGAGTTCTCAGGAAGTCCTGAGGGCAGTTAGTGTACCTGGGAGCTTTCTTTTTAGATGTGTCTTAGATAACCTTATCTTAACCTTTTAGGAATCCTCTTTCTTTTCTTTCTTTTTTTTTTTTTTTGGGTCCTGTGGTGGGGCCTGAACTCTGGGCCTGGGCTCTGTCCCTCAGCTCTTCAGCTCAAGGCTAGCGCTCTACCACTTGAGCCACAGAGCCACTTCTGGCTTTTTTTCTTTTTGCTTATATGGTGGTGGGGAATCGAACTCAGGGTCTCATTCATGCAAGGCAAGCGCTCTACCACTGATTGACCTTCCCAGCCCATAGGAATCCTGTTTTTTCCCTAGCATTGGGCTTTCCTATGGTTAATGTACCTTGGTATATAGAAGATTAAGTTATTACCATTCTCATCTCACAGATTGGAAACTGAGGTGCAGAATAGTTAAGTAACTTGCCTGGAATCATTGAGTTGTCAAAAGTTAGGAAATGTTGTTTTCTCTACAGCATATTGCTTTTATGTAATACTCTTGGACTTCCTGTTGCATTTTTCACGGATTATTATGATAAACCAAGCAACAAAATTCAGAGGATGAGATGGAATGCTCAATTGTTAGGATGAGGCCCTGAATTACCATGATTCACTGCACCTTCTAATTCAGTTCAGCAGAGTGCGTTCATAGTATCATTCACTTTTTTTTATTATTATCTTTCAGTAGTTGTACAAAGAAGTTCCCATTCTACAAAACAGTATATGAGAACAAAGTGTCTGACAACATTGTCACTTATCTCTCCTAACCCATCTCTTTCATTCTTGTTATACTTAGAAAGTTCTTCTGATGCCTCCAGGTTAAAAGGTGAAAAAACACGAATAACTCAGAAATAGAGTCAGACATTCCCCTGTCCTTAATCTCTTTGTCAGAGAAATAGGATTTCAATTGACCTTAACTATCACTTATGTAACCACAAACAAATTACCTAACTTCTCAAGATCACTGTTTTTTCATGGAAATATTCATTTAATAGTCTTTTTTTCCCCAGACAAGGAAGCAGATTTAGATTTGATAAGGACTATTTGGTTCTTACCCAGGTCACGTGGTAACCTAGTGATAACTCTAAACTTCTCCCTTTCAAAAATGTTGAAATGACAATATTTTCCAAGCATTTAAGACTTCCATGTTCCATGTTTCAGTCTATTTCAAAATCCAGTCTTGGCATGCATGCCACACATACTTGCCACCTACTTCCTTAGAACCAAGTCTCTAGAAATTAACCCTTTAAAGCAAGGGAAGGGGAGAAATTGTCCAAAAAGAAATTTACTGTTTATCTGACTTATGTAACTATAATCCCTTGCATATCACCTTTATAATAACAATAAAAAATTAAATTAAAAAAATTAACAGCTTGGCGCTGGTGGCTCATGCCTATAATCCTAGCTCCTCAGGAGGCTGAGATCCGAGGATCTTGGTTCAAAGCCAGCCCAGGCAGGAAAGTCTGTGAGACTCTTATCTCCAATTAACCACCAGAAAACTGGAAGTGGTGCTGTGGTTCAATGTGACAGAGCACTAGCTTTGAGCAAAAAAACTCTGAGTTCAAACTACACATCCAATTAAAAAAATTAACCCTTTAAATTTGAAGAGTCCAGTAGGATTTGAAGGTATTTTTATATATATATGGAAAATCTAGGTGCTTACATTCTATTCCTGGCTCCCTTTAAAAGATGAGTGGCAGTTACTTGGAACACCTTAAAGATGTAACTATAGGAGATAAATGAACCCACTCAAGTGTCCAAAGACATAATCATCTTATAGTTTATAGTTTATCTTTTTTTTTCTCATTTCCAAAATGAAGTGATTTTATTTTTTTTAGGAAAAAAAATATATATAAAGATGGCCAGGTTTGATAGTGAATACCTTTTATCACTCAGGAAGTCTCTGCTTCCCTTTAAGAGTATCATACAGAGACTTTCTCAAGAAAGAAAATGTTCATGTATGAAGAAAATATGAAATATACCCATACTAATCCTCCATATCACTGTTAATGTTGGTGTGTCCATTTATCTCTCTCTTGTTTTTCTTTGAGGTCCTGGTCTTTGAATTCAGGATTGTGTACTTGCCAGACAGGTGCTCTAACACTTGAGACATGCCCCTAGCCCTTTTGCTTTTGTTATTTCTCAAATAGGGTCTCACGTTTATGCCTGGGCCAGCCTGAACCACAATCCTACTACTTATTCCTCCCTTGAAGCTGAGATAACAGGTGCGTACCAACACCTCTAGAATTTTATCGGTTGGGATGGGATCTTGTAAACTTTTTTTGGTTTTTTTGGTCCATCATGGGGCTTGAACTCTGGGCCTGGGCACTTTCCCTGAGCTCTTCAGCTCAAGGCCAGCACTCTACCACTTGAGCCACAGTGCCACTTCCAGTTTTCTGGTGGTTAATTGGAGATAAGAGTCTCACAGACTTTCCTGCCTGGGCTGGCTTTGAACTATGATCCTCAGATCTCAGCCTCCTGAGTAGCTAGGACTACAGGTGTGAGCCACCAGCACCTGGCTTCTTGTAAACTTTTTACCTAAGCTGGCCTCAAACTCTTGATCTCATTTTCCCAAGTAATCTAGGATTACATGTATGAGCTGCCATGCCCAACTCAAAAATATATTGTTTTTCAGCAAAAATTATATGCTGTGTACTGTTCCTGTAACTCTTAATTAAGGAATTCTAGTTTGATTAATAAGATCTATATCACCTTTAACCAACAGCACAAAACAGAAATAAGCCACTGAATTTAGTTAGAATTAAACTGCAGAAGAAAGTTGTTTCAATTACCCAAAACTAGTGAGCAAATTGTGAAGCAATTAAGAAGTGTAGTCCTGACTCTACCGGCAGAGTCCTGCCACCGGGCTCTCAGGAATCTTGTGGATAGACAGGTTGAAGAGCATCTGAGCTACACAAATTGGTTGCCAGCATGTCCCCTATAAAATAGCAAGTCATGGGGCTGGGAAGGTGGCTCAGTGGTAGAGTGCTTGCCTTGTATCTATGAGGCCCTGGGTTTGATTCCTCAGCACCACATAAGCAAAAAGGAAAAAAAAGCCAGAAGTGGTGCTGTGGCTCAAGTGGTAGAGTGCTAGCCTTGAGTTGAAGAGCTGAGGGACAGCACCCAGGCCAAGAGTTCAGGCCCCATGACCATCCACAAAAAAAAAAAAAAAAGCAAGTCATGTATTAAAAATAGAGCTTCTCGCTGGACGCTGGTGGCTCACGCCTGTAATCCTAGCTACTCAGGAGGCTGAGA